AGACGGGATCTGGCTGCCTTGTTCAAGGAAAACTCTTCTCGTTTTACACAGGGGAAGGGCAAGCAGGCAGCTTTCTGTCTGCCAGAGCCTGCAGACACTCTTGTTACTCTGGAGAGAACCACACGAGGCTATTTTTTCTAGCAAGGAGCAATTCCCACCCTCAGGCTGAAATCAATAGTGGTTAACTCTCTGCATTAGTACCTGCCACAGGTTCTTCAAGGGCCCCCCAAAATAATCAGGCCTTGCCGTCCAAATGTGAAGCAGGCAACTTTTAGGGCGGACGCAGCCTGTGGTCCACATCCCTGCGACTAGGTACTGCTGACAGCAGTTCAGAGTGGTGTGAACGGCGTGAGAGCTGCTGCTCCTAGGCCAAGACAAGGCATACTGGAAACTCTCTGGCTCCTTCCGTCAACGCTTGAAAGTTACAGAAAGAGGTGAGCTCTTTCCTAAGAGCTCAATGGCTAATTAATGGCAAAATCCATGCTGAAACAGGGGCTTCTGGTCAAGAGAAGAAACTCACAACAGGAAGGGGTAAATGCAGATGATGAAGTACTTAACTGACCTGTGCTTTCTGATGACATACAACAGGGTTTAATGGGACACTCCTTGGCTTTGGCACTGAAATGGACAGAGTGGCATTTACCGACACATATTGAGCAAGCACTACCAATGTACTGCCAACAGAAAGAGAACAAAACTGTAGCTCTGCAAACTTGGACCAACATCTGACAACTAAGCATGACTTGTAAAGAATGACTAACTACAAAAAGCCTGTGTCATGGCTCAGTCTGAACACACACAGGCTTTTAAAAAAAAACTACAATACTCTCTGATACATTTTTATAGTGTATCAGTGGTCGGCTGTGTCCAGCACGCTGTGTGGTACTGGAAAACGGCTTTCCTATTAAAGTAACTTTTTAAGTTCCCAAAGAAAACACAGTGCTCGGAGGGACAGCTCCATTGCATAGAGACACAGTTCTTTGACCTGTTTGAAATAAAGAAAATAAGAATAGCACAGCAATGTTGATAGCAGTTAGTAAATACTAGAAGGCACATTACGAAAGAAATAGCTTACACAGGCTTTTCTGGATTACCCCATTCAGGCTTTTAAGGCCAGTAAGTATCCTCTTTGTTATGGCACCGTGAGGATCTTGTCTTTACTGTCACTTCACTCACCTGTGCCCTCACTCATCATCTTTGTTTCATTTTGGTCAGTTTTTAAAGGGAAGACAACTAAATAAGACGTTCTCTTTAGGACATGCATTCAGCAGTGAAGTTCTGGGCTAGGAGTATATGAGTTCAGGATTTACTGAAAGCAACCCCAAAGTATATGAGAGAGAGCTTTTTAAAGCCATGTTCCACTCTTCCCCTGTCACAAGAATGACAACCAGTGCTACGCCTGCAGCAGTTATCTACCTTGTCTGGCTGTATATTCGTTGTCTTCTATCAGTCTTGCCAATCCGAAGTCGGCAATCTTGCATATTAGGCCATTCCCCACCAGAATGTTTGCAGACCGCAGATCTCTGTGTATGTAATTCATTCGCTCGATGTACGCCATTCCTGCAGCCACCTGCGAGAAGCATGAAAGACAACCAGCACATTTTAAAATGAACTCAGATATACACAGGCTATAAAATATGTAGACCGAAGTGCTCAGTACTCTGAAGACAGACCTGGGCTGCCATGTCCACCAAATTCGGTAACTTCAAAGCTCTTCCTTCTCCATCTTTTAAGAAATCTAGCAAACTCCCTGCAAATGCAAAGTTGACACAATAGAGAGATGTTAGGGAAACAATGGCTATTCATCAGGATGGAGGTGCAGCAATATGTGCAATATTAAAGATGGCAATGTTTCAAGTTCAAGTGGACAGTTTCAAAAAAACCCACAATATCTTAGAATTCTCCTATTATACTTGTTTCACTCTTCTTTAAGGTTGGCTTGCAGAAGAATATGTCACTAGTCCAAAGAGAGTTGCAGGGAAAAGAAACAACATTGTTTTTAATTTTCCTGACCATTACTGAGAAAGCTGATCTTTCTTAACTTTTCCAGTGCTCTTTGAAACTACATACCTGCTGCTCTCTAAAGGCCTCAGCTAGCTGCAAAGCATCAGCTCGGTTCCAAGCCACACAAGCTATGGAAAAAGTTGGATCCCAGCTCAACTTGCTCCAAAAGAAAGGTCAGCCTGGAGCCTGGTAAGCCCAAAGGGGCTAGCATTAACAAAGGCTAATTTTCCTTAGAAATTAGTAATGCTCCTTCTCTAGGTAACCCGTAACTAAATGTAGCATGAACCATTAATTTTAGAAGACCACTATGCAAAACTAGAGAAGACAAAGCAGAGATCAAATTAAAGCAATTTTAGCGAAAGCAATAAGGACAGAGCTCCCCTGTGCAAGGGAAAGCAAAGAGGTTTCCTGTAGCTTTTAAAAAAAGCCTAAGATGCTATAGCTCCCTTCCCAATCTTGTATTCAAACAGAGAAGTGCGGCAGTCTTCTTTAAATAAGGTCAGTGAATTGGTTTAATAAATAAGGGGGAAAAGACAGATGATTAGGCGTTTCTCCCTTGATAAATCATCAACCTCAAGCTCAGATCCAAAGATGTAAAATGTTACAGTAAAAACTAGTAAAGTAAGCCAAAATAAACCATGTACTTCAGAAGGATTTTGAGAAGTCTTTTTTTAAAGGGGAAAAAGCACATGCTTGTCACTGAGACATATGATTAAAGTGTGAGTTAGTCAGGGCTTGGACGCTTCTGAGGAGGGAGGTGGGCAGGCACCTGCCAGGAAAATAAAAATCAACTCCAAATAGACTGAAAAAATGCACTTAAAATTTCAGAGTGTATCCTCCAATGTACAATGAAACTTCCCTGTGAGAACTTATGTTTCCTATTTGGTTCACTTGCTTTTCCAAAACAAGCAGATTTTTTGCTCTGCTCTCAGCACCCCTGCTGGAGATCTGACGGAGTGAAAAGTTTTCCTTTTCTCATTTTACGACATTGTTACCAGTTAAGTAGCTTAAAGAAAAAGAGAAGGGAGAAGGGGGAAGGGAAGGGGAAAGAGGAGGGAAAGAATCATATGTGCAAATCACGTATTAAAATGATAAATGGGGTGGACTGAAAAGCTGTGATCTGAGAGCGAGGTGCACATGACAGAACTCAGGATTGCTAAAAGAAGAAACAGAAATCGTAGGCCGACAAGTCAACACTGAAAGAAGATGCCGTATGAACTCTCTGGCGCCAGGGAAAGCTAGGTTCTTGGGAAGCAGCATGTAATATCATTCAAACTAGAAAATGCAAATCTCCACTTGTCAGGGAAGTTCAGATGCTGATGCAGTTGGAAGCACTTAGGCTGCACCAACTTCTCCCTCCCCCACCTAGCGCAAATTTTCTTTGTACAACTAGCGGATTTCAGGTTTTGGGCCCAGTTCAGAGTTGAATTCATAATTCTTCTGAAGCCGGAGGTGAATTTGGCTTCCTGTTCCCTCTCTCCTTCCTCATACGCTGTTCATGCATCACACTGCACCTCCCTCTGTATCCCCAAGGAGCATCAACAAAGAAAAAATATTGTTATCAAGGGCAGCAGCTCTGGCTTCACCTTTGCTCATGTACTCCGTGACAATATAGATAGGTTCTTCAGATACCACAGCATAAAGTTGGACCAATTTGTCATGTTTTAGCTTCTTCATGATTTGGGCTTCCTCTAAGAAGGATTCTGGAGACATAGTGCCAGGCTTCAGGGTCTTGATAGCCACTTTAGTATTTCCGTTCCACGTACCTACAAGCACAGATATTTAGTTAGATTAAACAACATCTCCTCCTTCTGCCTGATGCCTAATGTAACCAAGGAATAAACTAGCAAGGACACTTAATATAATTATTTTTTTAAAGTGTGGTTTCCCATGTTGCCTTATCATTATATTCCTCCCACGCCTCCCTCATATTTTAGACTTCTTCTATTATACTGAAAAATAATACTCCCATTGGCACTGGGGCACAATCACCATTGTCCTATTCAGACAATGCTTCCACTGATGTCCACAGAAACCTTCTCTGAGTAAGAAATGCGGGACTGCTGAAACCCATCTTCATGTATTCCCTTGCTAACAAGTAATTGCTACAGACAACAACACAACAAAACTGGTTAAACCCAGAACTTTCCATTTGCAAGACATTTTAACATTTTGTTTTTGTTCTGAGTCAGAGGAAAAAACATATTCTAAGAAAAATTCCCAATAAACAAATACTGAATCGATTTCATTTTAGAAACACGGGCGTGTTTCCAAACCGAAATGCGTCTTTTTCCTTCCCCTCCTCATCCCCAGAAGCCCAGCAGCTGCTGATTGAAAACGAGGTGGTTCCCACTTTGTTCTTTACTTGCGGTCAGCACTGAGATGGACAAGTTGCATCACTTTTCAGCCATCCTCTACCAAGCCTTCTGTAACACCTGAAAGCCTGCACAAAGACCTGTAGAGAGCTGGGGAAGGCTGACTCAGGGCGTCGCACAAGAGGTGGGGCTTCACTCGGGTATTGGCAAGGGGGAGAAGGAGGACTGGAGAGAAAAAAAAAGCCAAAACACCTACCTATGTTAGCAGGTTTTTTGGGGGATGGGGGACTGGGAAAATTAAAATGGGCAGAAATATCACTTTCCTAGTGCCTTCTGGTTGTCCCTTGCCCGGACTGGCCAGAACCCTGCTCCAGACCAGGGCTGAAATGGCTTTGAATGGGACCTGTGATCTGTTGATAGGGAGCTGCTGTGTGATAAGGCAGAACAGTACTAAATGACTTCAGGCATTAATCACATTGGGTAAAAATTACTCCTCTGCACTTAAGCGTGAGGATAGCAGAAGGCCTACAAAGTACCTGAAGACTCAGACTCAGATCCAGCTTCTATAAATTAAGATGTCATCAAAAAAGGTAATGTGTAAAATAAGCCTGGTTTGTCTTTGTTAAAAGCACATTAACAGTTACCAGCGCTCAGCTGCTGCATGGGAACTGGTTAAGCCAAAATAACTTCATCGTGAGCTTTTGCAACCTGCCAGAGCATAAAATGAGCTGGATTGTTTTCTGTGCAAGCGGTCAGGTCCCAGCTGACCTCCCAGGTCCTCGCCTAGCCACGGACAGGGGAGGAGCAGCAGGGCAGCCACTGCCTGTGTCGTCCCTGGCTTACAGGGCACTCCCCGCAGTAACACACGCTGTCCGAGGGGGGCTTGAGGCACCTATCAGCCAAAAGTGTGCGCTGCAAGTTCGGTTTTCACTATGCCTTGATTTCCTTCTGCCAGCTCAGTGCCAGGTGCTGTCACCTCTACCGGTGGTGGAGTAATGTCTTGAGTTACTACCACCGCTACCCCTGCGTGCTTGAGGAGGACTCTTGAGGTCTTAGTTTCACTCGGTCCTTCAAATCTGAGCTGAAGAAGGACTTTGATTTAGTGGCAATCCCGTGTAAGCTGGGAAGGATGCGGTTTCACCTCCTAATTTCAAGCAGGGTGGCCAAAATCTGTTCTGATGGGTGAAGGGGAGCGTGTTTTATCTGGAGCCACTGAGGCTCTGGACCGCAGAGTGCGGTCAGTCACAGCCGTTTTGCAGAGGTATCGCAAATTACATGAACCAGGAATGAAACCCTAGTTTCACGGGCACCAGGGTTTCTGTCACTGGCATTAATAAACTAGGATTTTACCTGGTGTGTTAACAGGATAAACTGTGTATTATCTGTTTGCAATGCCTTAATAAAAATCCCAGGACTCGTTCTATTACCATAAAGTGTTTTCAGCAGTTCTATTTTTAAATACTTTTATGAATTTCTCCAGTTAAAAAAAGAAAATCAAACAAAAAGGTTAACTTATCCTCTCAGCGCAGATTTCAGTTTAAATTGTTAAATTTTCTTGTTGTGGTTTGGTATGTTTCTCTCTAATAGAAAATTAGCATAGACTTCCCTCTGAATTCCTCCCATATGTAGTTAGTTACTACTTAATGCATTTTTTATTAACTTTTACTGTGTTAATCTATTCCAATTTGGTAATGCTTAAGGGCTGTTAACATTTTTACTATACATTACTTTAAGAAACATAATGTCATAATTGTAATAATAACTTTTGCATTTCTGACAGATATTTGGTATTGGTGCTTGGCATTTTATTTCTCATAGCTGATTTTTTTTTTTTTTAAATTGCATTTGCTCCTTTAGCTTGTTGTATCAGTTTAAGATCTACGGCACACAAAGCTGACCACTAAGTATTAACATCAGCTTGCAACTCTCACATGCATTCAAGATGGAGAACAAGAAGGTGAAACTGTACTTATCTGGGGATGCTAATAGAAAACATAGGTAGCTTTCTTTGCAACAGGTCAACTGTAATTCTGTGAAATTCTATAAATGTCTATATTTCTAGTCTATAAATTCTATAAATTTCACAGACTTGCTGCCATGCTCCTTGCTGTAGTCTTACAGCGGAAAACAGCTGCAAGAACCGAGGAGAGCCCACTGCTTATTTTGGTTGTACATACTTTTGTGCCACTGCAACAAAAAGAGCGGCCAAACTGCTCCACCAAATTTTTCAGAAGAAACAACATATAGTGACTCTTTATTTGAATTGGCCATTTTAAAAAGGCTACACAGAATGCAATTTGGCACAAAAATTGGGCCCACCTCTCATTAAACGGCCACTATATTGTGTTTCAATTCTATGGCTATACTAAGATTTATGTATATTTTAAATTGTTCTTTTTTTATAGTCACTAAAAGAACGAGGCCCATAGAGAGGGGAGCAGTAAGTAAAGCTGGCAAGTGCGCAGAAAACAATGTCAGTGGATTTAGAAAATGTCAATATTTCTGGACTTCAAAGTGGGGGTTCAGCTGGGCTGGGCAAGTCTTGCCCCTATTGTCCCTGTTCTCTATATCGAGTTACGGGGTTCTGCTGCAGATAAAAATTTCAAAACAGACTTAAAGAAGTGGAAGCATGGGAAAGCTAGCTTGACAATATTAGCTTGCTGATACTTGCCATTATTTTTAAACTGGGAGAGCGGATGGAAGCATTTTCAGTGTCTGACCCCATAAGTGCTAAAATACACGAGGAAAGAAAAATGTCTACTTACCAGATTAATTTCTGGTTAGCCATTCTGCCTTACAAGTTTAGCATCATTTCTATTTTAATACCTTGCAATTGTGTAGTCACCCAAATAAACCCAATGCAATTAATGAAGTTTAATGCCCTAACCTCTCATACCAGTGTGTGCAAATGAGAGGAAGTTTCCCTGTGGATTACTGTATTTAGGTCTGACCGTTTTAGGTGATACAGACTAACATTTCATACTATTCTGATCTTTTAGCTTTAAGATCTCTACTTGAAATGTTTATTTCTGCCAAGAGGGCCTTAAAAGATCCGTCCAAAGCAAAATATATTCTCTGCCTTACCACGCCACACTTCAGCGAAACACCCCTGACCAAGCTTCTGTTCCAGAAATAATGAATCACGTGCAACTTCCCATGCATCTTTAGCCAATCCAACAGTTTGTGGGGTATTATTCGTAGCAATCACAGTTAAGTTAAAACACAAACCATCAGCTTTCTCTATAGGAGAGGAAATTAATAAAAAAAACACACTTATAATCCAAAATTATGCATGCATTGAGAAAGATGGAAGGTGACTTGTCTCTCAGTGCTGCATTAAAGTTCATTTGCAAACACTGATTTTTGGATACTGAAGGTAAGGACTTTTTTGTTAGCTTGCAGAAAAAGGCTCCTTGGTATAATTAATAGATTACCATGCAAGCCTTGATTTATTATTAAGACAGTGGTAATCTGTCAAAATTGAAACCTTCCAAGGAAACATGGAATTTCAGTTTTCTTTTGCCATCAATTACAGTGAAAGTTGAAGATGAAAGAATTTCAAAGTCAAAGACGTGATTCCAAAGACATTTTTCCTAACAGTTTGAGCTTTGCTCTTTTTTTTCTTGTGGGTCACATTTTCACCTTCCATCTTGTAATCCCCACACAGAGAGCTATTTTAGAATAATTATTTTGCTCCATACCCATCCATACTTCCCCAAACTGCCCATTTCCCAGTCTCTTGATCAACTGTAGGGATTCTCGTGGAATTTCCCAGACATCTTTGGTTTTGACAGACAGATCAGTAAGCCTTGGCATTCCTTTATGACAGGGGACTACTAAGCGGCAGCAAAGACCTGCAGCTCTCTCTGATGGAGCCAGAAGTGAAGCCAACAGCAAAGGAGAGGAAAGAAAAAAAAGTGTGACATGAAACAAAAACAGTAAGCATAAAAACAATGCTACTCACAACAGCTGTTAGTTGCATACCACAAAGCATCCTGGAAGATTAGAAATTGAACACTGAAACATATTCATTTGAGACAGAACAGGAAATATTTTAGTCTCTGCTTCCACAGCCTGAAATGAAAGGTGACCGCCAATGGTTTCTCCTGTGGACTCAGGATTTCCCTTCTCCCACAATGCTGCATTAAGATAACTTCACGAGTAACTGGTATACTATAGTACAGTATAACTTATTAAAAATCATCTGTAAGTCACAAACTGGATTGTTTCTGTACTGGGTAAAAGAAACAGAAAAGATTCACTTTTTCTGAAAATCACAGCAATGAGTATTTGGTGGACTTTTTTGCTAATTTTTTTCTAGGTATCCTGGGAAAAGGTATTTTCTATATTCTACTCTGTGAAAAGGTGTTTTTGTAGGTGTCCTGTAAAAGACTTTTTCTGCCATTCTTTCTAGAGCGAACCTTTATTAGTGTATGCAGCCAGTCCTACATTGTTTGGGGCACGTTCATTATACTTATCTCTTGCAAAGCTTCCCAGAAGACTGAAGTGTGACAAAAGTCACAAGATATTTTAGCAGGACTAAAACCAATGATATATATATAAATATACATATACACACATATTGTTGTGTAGTATACTATGCTGCACAAAGCAGATATAAAGCTTGCACAGCAACTTGTATCTTAAAACAGGTCCAACAGAGCAGAATAAGGTGGGGAACTGCAATTGTATTTCAGACTCAATCATAATCTTTATTCTCCTGTGCAAGATTTCTTTCTGGGCAGGTGAACAGTTTGTTTCAGCATCACAAGGTGGGCAAGCACTGGTGCTCCTTGCAACACCAAGCTCTACCTCCCCAGCACAAATGTTGTGGGATGGTGAGGAAGTCCCTACAGACACCCTGACATGGACCTTGTTGTGTCTCCTGTACCAAGGCAACAAAGACCACAAAACAGGGAAGATTAGCTGACTAGTTGGCATGTCTTATTCCAAGATAATTCCAATGGGAACACTAGGATAGGGACTACTCAAAATACAGATAGTATCTGGAAAGCTTCCTTATGAGTTTGGACAGCTGCAGAAGGAACGGGAGGTTTTTAAGACCTCCTTGTTTTCTTTAGTTGAAAAAAAGCTTGGCATGCTGGTGCTCCAGTTAAGCCTACACTGCACGCACAAGAGCTTATGCTTGACAGGCCGGCTGTTAGGGATTGGGTGAATGGTGCTTCGACTTCAGACGTGCCGTTGCTGGACTTTAGTCTGACGTCAGGACACCCTGGGGATCTCAGTATTTTTCATTTGTAAATCTCATCTGTGAAAGTCCAGACACTGCAGTTAACTTTATGATCCAGGTAAGAAGGGGCTGGGATAAGAGGGAAGTCCGGGTAGTAAGGGTACTCGGCCGTGCAATGGGAGCACAGTGCAGGGATGCCTGTGCTGTGTCTGCACAAAGGTACACGTCGTACTTCCAACTCCTGACCCAGGACTGCTTACATGAGACCAAACTGCACACTGTCTACCTGGGTAGCCTGGTTTCCAGCTGGACAGGAGGGCCCCACCCTGGACAGGAGGGGTCCTCCAGCCTGGACAGCTATGGGATGAAGGCGGAAGGGTGGGCTGCAGATCAACCACGCTGATCTTTACGGAGTCATTTGGACATCTTTGAGCTCTCCCTAGAAGTAAATCTAGGCACTCGCAATGCATTGTGTTAATCTACCTCCCACAATCCAGAGCGCAGAGCAGGTGGTTAGAGGCAGCCTTTATGTTTTGAGTCAGCTGGGGCTGGCACGGAACGAGGGCTCCTGTGTTCACCTGGGTCTGGGAGACCGCAGGTGAAACCTCTGGAGTGTGGGTCTGTACCATGCCCTCCTGAGCTACCCTACCTGGATCCTGCTGATTATGCCTCTGTGTTGCACAGAAATGGCTGTTTCCAGATCTATTTGTTTTTGCATCTGTGCATGGAAAATACACCACCCAAATAATTTGACCACAGAAAACTAAAAGTTGATGTATACCAGCTGGTACAGTGGGGATGAAAATTATCTTCCTTAGATGTGAGTTTTTATACATTATTTATCTTAGTTTAATGTAGAGTCACCAGAAACAACTAGAAATTCTCCCAGGCAGCATACACCCATCAGAAATTGGGTGGAGAAGACAGCCAGATGTCTAGTATGAATAGCATAAGAATACAGCAGACAGAATACAAAGAATACAGAAAAAACACCCCACAGAGAAGTTGATTTCCCAAGTAAAAATTATGAAAAGTTTTTGAGCAGCAAGCATTTGGGGTCATCTGTTAATATTATGAAAAGCTAAAGTAAGGAAAAAATAAAAAGCAAAATAATCCAAAATACAAATTTCTGCTTAAAAAATCACTATGTTGAGAAGCATGGCAGTCTTCTATGCAAGAACTGGTTGTCCTATGGTTTGGGGGGCTTTAAAGTTGTATCTGTTGTATACCAATCACCAGTGACAGCAGGATGTACTTCTGGGTTGAATAGTGCATGCCACATTTTAATCACAGGAATTTAAAAAAAAAAAAAAAAAAAAGAGCTTGATGGGTGGACACAAACAGTGTGCCTAAAGAAACACCCACCTTGCCATATTTATTTTTAAAATCAGACCAATTATAATTTAAATGTTAATACTTTAGACATTGAACACAAAACCAGTGGGAAAATTTGAGTCAGGTAATATATGCAAACCTTTTGGTCATTGCTTTAGGTGACTGAATTCCACAATGCAATTCCCTATTTGCTTTATTGGCAATAGTGTGCTGCAAAATGGTACATATTAGCACTTGCTTATGCACGGAAATTCATGCTTTGAGATGTGCGAGTCAAATTCAGGAATTCTGTTTGCTTAGAAGAGGGAGAGCAGGCAAAAACTTTACCTCAGTAAAGAGCTACCTTGCTAGCTTTTTAAAGCTCTGCCGCTGTACACTGTGAACGGCACTCAAAGCCATTTATAACTGTAATGGGAAAGGGATAATGGAAGATGCATTACAACAAGCAAGAGACATAGCTCAAATGATTCTTTAGGGCGTCTTACACATACATCAGCTCAGCAGCAAACACTTTTGTTTTAAAATACTTCAGAGTGCCGTGTATTATCTGAAAAATTACCTGAATAATGCTGAACCAGCTGCTGAAGAGTTTCAAATTGTGCCCGAGTTGTGATATAATATCCACCATTGTCAAGTTTACGAATCTTATAATGTTTGACATGATCTCCTTTCATATCATCCCAGTCTCGAATAGACAGGGAATAGGCACCTGTTCCAAGCAAAGGAGAAATAAAAAATGGTAAGTAGCTTTTAGACACAAAGATTTTGGTTTGCTGGTCAGTTGTTATAAAGTGAAAGAGAAATTGCTTCCCAAAAATGCTTACTGTACTTTGAAAAAGAACAAGTGAATCTAACATAATGAAGTAAGTATCACAGAAATCTTAATGATGTTCACACCATGTTCCTTTCACACTTTTCTAGAAAGAAATCAGGACTTCTGTGTAAATGAAAACTCAAATTTTAACATTTACTGCTTCAGGTTGCTAAATTGACTTTTCCTATTCTAAGTGTCAGGTTACACTGCAAATACTGTATTTTAGGTAAATGCCAGTGGGCGGTAAATACCAAGACTTTCATAGGAAGCACTGCAGATAACAACTTTATATATGTGCAGTGTTGTTACCCAGATGGATCCCAATCTTCTTTATAAACATTAAACAACCAAATTAGCATACTTTGTACGTCACAGTGTTTGGAAGGTGGTACTACACCAAGACTGTGCACCAGGAGATCTGCAAGAACTGCGTGTTTCACTTTCCAAATCCATGCTGGAGCTTTAGAGCTAACTGGTGGGATTCAGATGCCCAAACACAGGGGTTAAGTGCCATGTGAGATGCCCCAGGACATCCTGCTTGTCAGTTTTCCCACAGGCTGTTTGTCCAGTCCACGTGGATGCCCTGCAGGCATTTCAAATAACTCTGGGTGCTCACAGTCAGGTAAAGGAACCTCAGCTGAGGAGCTGGATATTTTTAGGTGTAGAGGTGGCTGTCTGCAGGTGGGCTATGGGCTTGATTTAGATGCCCATACATAAGCTTCTGGCGCTATTAGGGCAGCTGAATCCCAGCCTAGTTTCCATGAGTGTTATGGCACTGTAGATACGAATGGCGTAATGTAGGTTTGAGCACTAGGTGTCTGCAGTCGTGGGCAGTTGAACTGAACCTCAGCTTCCCGCTGACTGTAAAGGGAGCTTGGCCACCTTACATGGGGACCTGCACATTCAGGTGTCTTAATCTGAAGCACAAAGACAAGTCTTCACTCATGGCTCAGACGAATATTATGTTTACTCAAAGGTAATTCAGACATTAAAAGGAAAAAAACTGGAGGTAACTGGCAGCTGCAGAGATCTCGGGAAGGTCCTCCTTCTAGAGCCTGGGCTGCTGTGACTGGTAACCATGTCAGCTAAGGGCAGGAAAGGAAAACTACCAGCAGACAATTTTGGACAACGTGCAAGGTGGCGTGATTTCCTACGGGTCTGATAGCAAACAGCACCGACTGCTGCTTATCCCAAGTCAGGGTACTTTTCAACACACCTGGCAGGTTCACATCCTCCAGAACCACCTCCAGCTAAGTGAAATGGTTTAAAGAACCCCCCACAGTTAGGTGGTTGAGATTCCTGGTGTAAGATGTCTTTCCTGGATGTCTCCCCAGGAAGAAGTTTCCCTGACCACGTTAACCTGCAACAGGTCGCACTGGTGGGTGGCTCACCGCCCAGGGAGCTGCAGTGAACAAAACGTCTCCACCCCGACTCCAAAGACTTCTCAAATTCCCTGTTGTTTGTCCTCTAAATAGGAGGAAAAGAGCCAGCACTTACACAGATGATTCTGGTTTATGTGAATGGGAGACACCCTGAGAGGAGTGACAGGGTTTTTATTTCTAAGTGTAGAAAAATACTGTTTGTTTAGGATATTTTTCTGAGGAGGTTCTCCCACTGAGTAAGTACACCTCTCTCAGCTAGGAGTTCAAAGCTTTTTGGGGATTTGCAAGCACATCTTGTGCATGCTTTGTACCACCACTCTGGGTTGTACACTGTCAGCCTACTTTCAAAATTTTCCAGGCAGCGTTCTCCACCTCCGCCTTTGTGAGTTTTGATCCACTGGCAGCAGCTGTATTTTCTTTAGTCACGCTCCCTGCCTATCTGGTCACTATTTTAGATTCTTTAGGAAAATGTAAACAATCTGTGGCTCCAGGTCTGCAATCAGAGCTGTGTGGGTGGCCCTCTGTGGACCCCACTGACCTCAGATTAAGTTGCAGGACTGGAGCTTTAGTTCAAATCTGGAGAAAAACAAGAACCAAGATGGATTTCATTATTCATTTATTTAGGCTGTTGGTTATTTATACTATTCATTATTACCTGATGATAAATTCAAATATAAGGGATATACATGATAAAAATTTGGATAGAAATACAACATTACAATATATCATACTAATGAATTTTTTAAAAAAACAAACCTAAAACCAGACAGCCTTGGAGGGTGGAGATTGAAACCAGGTGAAGGATTATACAGACAAGAGCTGATGAAGTACCTGGGTAGTCAGGCATTGAAAAAATGAAAAGCCAGCTCCATATGATTTATTTTGGAAGTAAGAAGAGAAGGCAACCATGATCAAGGGAGGTTAAATTCATGCTGAAGTCATCCATGATGATACTTTTAACATGATCCTGATTAATTTTATTATTGTTATTATTTAAAGCAGAAGGGACGATTCTAGGTCACAAAACAATTCCTGCCTCAAGCCCACAATGACTAGCTGGAGTAAGGCATTTTCAGAAGACTTATGGAAGAATGCACCATGCCAGTCCTCCCAGCTGACTTTTTTCTCTCTCATGAACAAGCTCCCTCTGTTTTCTTCTAACAACATACTGAAACACCACAAGGATGAGAAGGGAAATAGGCATTTTTGACAAAACCCATGCATGTTTGGTTTTTTCCAATGGCTTTGATGCAAACTTAGCCTGAAGATGTAGAAAGCCTTAAGTTCAAATGCAGAGAAATTAAGCTTGCTGCTATAAGTCCATCCATGATGGATTACTCTATTTCCCCAAAGCTTTTGTGTCTCACAAGAAGCTCTAGAAAAAAGCCCTGAGTTAGCTAAGTAAACAGCCCTGCAAAACATATCCCCTATCACTGTATAAAAAATGGTCAAAACAGACCAAACTGATAATGTGGTTTAGAGAAACAGTGTTGTGTTTGTTTTTAGGATCCATGGATGCCTATATGAGTGAGTTTTCAAACTTGGCACAGAGAGGAATGAAGTCCTGCTACTCGCACACATCACAACAACTGTTTGGTGAAAAGGGACAGGTGGAGGCTATTTGCAGAAAAAGAGCAAGTTAGAGCCTGTCTTGCTCCTGGTGAGAATGCCTCACTGCTACATAAGGTATGGTGAAGCTGTGCGGTGACAAGATGGGAGATTAGCTGTGTGAAACAACAGCATGTCTATTCAGATTTTGCACCAGAAACAGCCTTCAGAGTTATGGGCAGCGAAGGAAGAATCCAGTGACTGCAGGAGTCAAAAATGTAAACCTTACAATTTTAGATGACAGAATGCAGCATCTGAAGATAGGTCAGGTAGAGAGGAGTGGGAAGTAGTGCTTTTCTTCTTTAAGCCCCTTTACCAGCCATGACTCCCACCACTTTGCATGCTAACTCTAGCTGACAGAGTGTGCTCTGATCAAAGCACTGACAAGTCAGTGCTTTAACTACATGAACCATCATTAGACTTCAGAACTTACATGGAATTAATTCTAGTGATTTAAGCTTCCCACAGCTATTGTTTTGGATTGCTGGTTAATTGAGAAATGGCCAGGTTTGTTTTCACTTAGCTGCAGGTTTTCTCCTCAATATTTGTACAAGTTAGTTAGAGAGATCTTTTCATACATGTGAAGCTTTGAAGATGTTGACAGGCCTCATGAACAAAATGTAAAAGCAAAGATAGCACCCACCAAGAAAACTGGAACGCCTCCAATATTTTTAGAGGGAAGGAGGAGAATACATCCTTCCACTTGACTTCAACAGAATGGATAAAGTTGAATGCTTTATGAATATATTAATTAGAGATATTTTCAAGTCTTTTCACTGTTAACCTATGAATTTAAAACTGCTACATCTTCCCCCACCCCCCCCCCCGACCA